GTTCTACATTTTGGAAACGACTTGATGGTCTGGGGGTGAGCGGGAACACGCTACATGTGCTTCACGCTATCTACTCTAATGGATCGAGTTGTGTGAGAGTTAACGGTTATAAGATAGACTGGTTCACGGTCAACTTCGATTTCATTGCGGGATTTTGATTGGACTATGCATAGAGTCGTTAGTCCAGTCAAAATCTCCATAATACCAGCCTAGTTCGGCAAGGGTGGAAACTGGACTTTTATAGTCAGTTAACTCTCTTGCCGCGGGAAGATGTGTTAACTGTGGTTTAAAGCAGGGTTGTTAACTATATATCGCCTCTGTTATTTAAGCTGTATATAAACGACCTTGCTTTAGTGTTGAAAGGGATCGGAAGAGGTGTTAAACTGGACAATGACATAATATGTGTATTGTTGTACGCAGATGACCTTATATTTTAGCTGAAAATTGAGCTGATTTACAAATGGCATTGAACTGTCTACTCCGGTTGATGTGGACTAAACCACATTACCATTAACGTTGAGAAATCCAAAGTCGTTCACTTCCGCATCCCATCAGTTCCCAGAACGAAGACTCAGTTCTCCTGTGGTGATGTTGTCCTCGACATTGTAGATAAATAGAAGTACAAAAGCTGCTAGCAGTGCTTTAGGATTGGTTATTTCAAAAAGCAAAGCTATTGGTGGTCTCCGTTACAAAGCATATACCCAACTTTATGAATATGTCGTCCTTCCAGATATTACGTATGGAGCGGCCATGGGGAACCAAAGACTATCGTGTAGTGACCAATTATACCCCGAATAACGCTGTAAACGGAGAGATCGGGTGAACAACTTGTACGGTTAGTCAATGGAGAGCTGCACTCGGCCACTGGAGACGTCTTGTTAACATGGATGAAGGAAGCCTAATCAGGAGTGATAGCCAACAGTCACACAGCTGTAGAAACTGGAGCTATTGTGTACGAGATTTCATAAATAAGCTTTTTTTTTCTATGTACTATAGTACCAATACGTTTTAACCACAATCTATTGTGTCTGACGCTTTAAATGCATATTGTACAAGAGTCGTGTGTGAATGGGAGCATAATGTAAAACATTATGAAGGAAAATTACGCACGTATTGAAGGTTTAAAAATGTATATTGTGCAGAATCTCATGTAACCACAGCCTTACCAAAGTCACATCGTAGTGCACTAACTAAATTAAGGTGCGGAGTTGCCCCTTCAAAACTTGAGACAGGGCGTTATGAAAACCTGCCGTTGGTACAGCGAATATGTGTAGTGATGATGTAGAAAATGAAATACATGTGGTTTTTAAATGCCCCGTGTATGATCATGATAATCTCCGCAATTCTCTCGAAAATATTGTTCGAGACGTTTAAGAAGAATGTGATAATCTGAATGATGTAGATAAATTATGCTTTTTATTCTCCACCGTTGCTATTGTTAAACATGTCGCCAAAACCGCTTATTAAAGTCGTCGAAACCTTGTGTATAAATCTCAAGTATTACACTTTATATTTTATCTTCTCAACCTTGTATAAATGTCTTTTAAATTGTTTTAGTCTCTCATAATTCCGTAAGGAATGGTGTGTGTACTATTTTATATGTACCTTCATCCTTGTTGTAAATAATGCTGTACACTCAGTGAGACAAAAATAAAATATCTGTCTGTCTGGGTTGCTGACGACCCATTCTACCCGGATCTTCACGGGTCGCTTCTGTTGTGCAGCGACATATAGTAGTCACTGACACCAGCCTAAAACATGCATTATTTATATGGATGATGTGTCGATGATGTAAAAGTTTTACGCCACTGTGTTTTCTTGCGATATAAAATAGAAGAGGGCATATAATATGTTTTATCGGAATATCGGAATTCAACTGCGTGAAGAGGGAGCACTTTTATGGCTGAGCTACCCCGCTGCCCTAACATTATTTGTAAGCAACGTGGCATTATAATTGCAATCGTGAATACCGATTCATTATTAATCAAATGTGTTCCACTTGAAGGATAATATTCCATTTATCACATTTACTGAATAAAGACATATGTATATACCTGTATAGCAGTGTCACAGTATTCTACATGGGCGTCGTTCATCTCAGTGTCATCTGTCTGTTCTGTATAAGACTTGTGTTTCGTCGTCGTAGTCCTGAAATCCCATCTTACAACAAACTTTCATATTCCAATATATCGCGGTCAATTTAACACCCGAAACGCAAGGAGTTTTATTTCATTTCAAATGCAGCGCTATTTTTCACTGTGCGTTGTTGATAAAAACACAAACACATTGAGGGTTAAGACTACGTTTCCTGGAATACTCACACCGGTAAGTTTATTGAGTAACTATAACAATTCATACCACATCTGCTAGAAAAAGGTACAGTATTATTTATTACACTTGACAAAAAAATCTGCCAGATCGAAATACCTGGAAGGTCTACAGGTTCCAGGTGTTCAGCGTCCTCCTGCAAGTCCCCCTTCACTGCTCTTGTGTCCGTCACACAGTTCCACATGAATGTGGGCCACAACCAGGACCTCTTTTCTCTTCGTCAGACATACGTAAGGGACCTAAATGGATTACTTAATCAATTATTTTACAAAAACGATAATGTTGTGATTAAGAGCCTATCACCTTCACTTACTGATTTATTAGAATGCAAAAAGCCTAAAGCCATGATTAAAATATGTTTGATCGGAGACATTGTTCTACACATGATATATTCGGTAAACGTGTCTTTCACATTTCGTTTCTTGCGATATTAACGCAAATGCAAAAATGCATAACCATTTAATGTGTTCATTATTGTTGTTTTTTCACACAACAAATGTTTTGTTTGGTTGTTTGTTGTTTAACGCACTCAGGACTATTCCAATATGAAGGCGGTATGTAAATAATCGAGTCTGGACCAGACAATCCAGTGACTGACATCATGAGCACCGATTGGGCACAACCAATGCAGATAAATAACGTCTTATATGTAGATTGTACCTACCCGTTCATCTAGAGGGGCAGCAAAGTTTGGCCGTCTGTAATAGAGCTGATACGGGGTGAATGGTTTGGTAGTCTTGTTCAGCCCGTTGTTGCCAGGAGTTGTAAAACTCTTCTAATGGTAAGCCAGAGTAAGTTAGGATATGACCTGACAATTAACCAGGTATGACTAAGTATGAGGTCCGCCCAATGGCGCGTATCATTGTGAAGAAAGGGGTAGCGGGTGGTCCGCGACAAGGAGTACCCGAGGTACCCTGAGACTGTGAAAACGGTGACAGCAAGTTTGCATAGATAACTGCATTTGAGGAGTATCGTGACGATGAAGGGAATTCATTTGCTGTAAACATAATATACTTTTCTTTTTACTCCAGAGAAGACCCTTGAAGATGCGGGGTAGAAAAGGTCTTCAGGAACCCATGCTTGCAGTAAAGAGAGACGATTCATGTCGTAAGAGGCGACTAACGGGATCGGGATGTCAGGGTCGCTGACTTGTTTGATGCATGTTATCGTATCCAAATTGCGTGGGCCGATGCTCATGTTGTCAAACACTGGATTGAATGGTCCAGACTCGATTATTAACAAAGAGTTGTCATATAGCTGGAATATTGCTGAGTGCGGCGTTAAACAACAAACCAACCCCAGAGAGCAATAACGAATATAGTGTCACGTCATTCATCAAATGATTGTGAAGGTTGAAACCCTAACGTAGTGATATAGTGATTGTTGACTCAACACATAATCCTTATTTAATCCCATGTGATTGTTTTATGGGGTTTATGAATACTGTAAGCATAATGTTGAGATAACTGGATAATCATAGCAATGCCTGATTAATTTTACGTGCAGATGTCCACCTGTTCCGACTGGTCAGACCAACTACTGGTAAACCAGCATAAGTTGAACCAACTCACGAAACGAGTTTCAGACAAGTAGGCATTGCACAAAATTTGGGCAATTAAACATGCCAAAGCTAGGTAAGCATGGCCAAATCACACATACATGTACGATTAAATCGCTCAACTCTTCCCTGACTCTGTGGGTGATAGCGACGTCCGTGCAATTGTACCGTTTCACATTCTTTATCAACAGCCTCCAAGTCTCCATTGCGAAACTCTCGTCCATTATCGGACTGTAAAATAATCGGAGCACCAAAAATGTAGATGAAGTGAAGTAAACCCGCAGCTATTTCCTTTGCTGCAATCGTCTTGGTAGCATTCCCATTATCAAATCTTTAATAGCAGACCACGATGTTGCATACGTAGGTGTGTCCTTTGTTTAGGGGGCATCTTGTTTAAGTCTATCTGCCAACTTGATTTGGGATAGGGATTCTTGTTCTCGTAGTTTTGGGGAGTTCCACTGCACTATCGCATTGTTCGCACGAAACGTGAACGTCAAATAAGACATTGATTTTCTCTTTGTCTCTCTGACAACTGGGAACATAGAACAATGGACAGATTCGAAAATAGCGGCAGATTTTCGATGATCAATGTTGTGATTTCTCTGGATTAGTTTTGTCTTTCCTCTTTGGGACAACATCGTCGGTGCAGTGATTGCATATCGGAACTTTCCTTAAAAACGTTTGTTGTGCCCTTAAACCACTTTCCCCGAAGTTTCGTCATGGAAATAATGTATATACATATACATTGTCAGGGCGGCGTATCAATGTTAAACTGTGGCATGGTAACCTCAGTGCGCCTGCACTATTATAGGTGTATATTTGCTTGTTTGCTGCACTGCCGCATATGAGTGCGGTTCGACTTACTGCGTCGCTAAATAAGTGCAATAGTCTTGTAAATACCTACTGAATCAATACACCTCACCTTTACACATAAAGTGCATCTCACACATATATCCGTGAGTATACTCGAAATCTGCACTTCGTGTGTGCATACCCTGATTCAAATTGGGATGCACGGGTGCAACACACCTCTTTGCAACACACATTTATACAATTGGCAGTTTTATATATGATATACAATGCATTATCAGCGGGAACGTATAACAGCACTAACACAAAATCACTTGAATAGGTTTCAACCAAGGTAACACGACTTGAAACGCGCTAAAAATAATTTGTTGAAATATTAACCCCTCCTTTGAACAAAGGTGTCAACGGCGCTTGGTGCGCATTGCAGGGCAAACACTTGCAGCACGTATTGTCCCCGACCAAAGAAATCTTTCTATGCCATTGAGTACATTGCACTGAAATAGATTTCCAATCCGCCTGCACATAAACTGATGTGTATTGCGCATGTATGGTTACTGTGAAGAACACCCGTATGTGGGCTTGCTGTTGTTTCGTGGAAGTCATTCCTTTTCCTGGAATTACGACTTTGGAGCTGAAGCTTGTCATGTGATATATGGTATTGATTCAGGATTTGTTGTGACTACGCTGTGAGTGCTAGCTGCGGAGAAGCACCTACCCCATGTACCCGGCACCGAAGCGAATTACATTGATGCACCTTTTATGCGGTAGACAGGTAAGATATCATGTTGGAGGCACTTGGACATTGTTACGTTACCCTTTTGTTCATAAGGTGTTGTTTATGATAAGAAACAAATTGTCCCTTGGACTGGAATCTGTCCTTCAGACATGGCACGGAACAGCATGTACCATTAACAATTCAAGGTTTTTAAAAATTCAAGATGGTTGAACTAGAATAATCCATAGCTAGAACAAACTGACATATGGGCTCTTGTCGAAGAGCGATTTTCATGTTTTATTCAAGGATTTCAGTGTCAGGGAATGTGTTCCTATTGTCTTGTAATCAGATAAATGAAAAAACCTAAGATAGCATCCAGTCTACTGCTGATAATTAGACGTTATTATCGTGAATATATGGCAGTTTTCATATCATACTTTAGACCCTTGAAGATCCGGGGTAGAATAGGTCTTTTGCAAACCATGCTTGCCTTAAGAGGAGACTAACGGCCCCAATTGTGTGGATCGAAGAGCATAATGGTAATCACTGGATTGTCTGTTCCAGACTTGATTATTTACAGACCACAGTCATATAGCTGGAATATTGCTGAGTGCGTTAAACAAAAGCCAAATAAAGAAGCAACAACAAACAAAAAACAACAACAAAGATATGGAGTATGACATGATTTGTTTGTTTGTTTGTTGTTTAATGCCGCACTCAGCAATATTTCAGCTATATGACGACAGTCTGAAAGTAATTGAGTCTGGAACAGACAATCCAGTGAGCGACATCATGAGCATCGATCCATGCAATTGGGATATGATTATAAGCATCAACCATGTCAGCGAGCCTGACCACCTGATCGACAAGCATAGTCGCCTTTTACTGCAAGCATGGGTTGCTGAAGACCTATTCTACCCTGGATCTTCACGGGCCCCCATATCAACCCGAGACTCCCATATCAACTCCCATATCAACCGAAGCTCTAAATGAGTATATTGCAAAGTTCAGTAACATCAACCCAGATTCATATCTGGTGCAACTCTATCACATACGGGCATATGTACCATGTCACACTGACATATCTTCCATGTCACACTGACATGTACCATGTCACACTGACATATGTACCATGTCACACTGACATATGTACCATGTCACACTGACATATCTACCATGCCACACTCACATATCTACCATGTGACACTGACATGTACCATGTCACACTGATATATCTACAATGTCACACTGACATATGTACCATGTCACACTGACATATGTACCATGTCACACTGACATATCTACCATGTCACACTGACATGTACCATGTCACACTGACATATGTACCATGTGACACTGACATATCTACCATGTTACACTGACATATCTACCATGTCACAATGCCCCAATCATCAATGCCTCAGGAATTATAGTATGACTCTATATCATCGCAGGCTCTATATTATAGTGGTATCATAATCTACACACACTTTCGACCATCTTCCTGAGGCAAGGGAGTTAACTGCCTGTAAAAATCCAGTTTCCACCCTTGCCGTACTAGACAGCACTTATTGAGTTATGTTTTGGCTGAACTAACAAGTTTGTGCATAGTCCAATCAAAAACCTGTGAAGATCCGAGGTAGAATAGGTCTCCAGCAACCCATGCTTGCCATAAAAGGCGACTAACATGACTAACGGGATCGGGTAGTCAGACTCGCTGACATGGTTGATGCTTATCATCGTATCCCAATTGCATGGATCGATGCTCATGATGTCAATCATTGGATTGTCTGGTCCAGACTCGATTAATTTACAGACTGCCGTCATATAGCTGGAATAGTGCTGAGTGTGGCGTTAAACAACAAACAAACAAAAAAATCTTATTTATCTGCTTTAATTTCAGATACAAGGACGTTTTTGATGTAGTTCAGTGGTGAGCCATCCCAGAAGGCTAGCCATGAGTCAAGGTAGGTGGGAGTCTAGTCAAAATGACAGCAGTTTTAGACAGGTTATGTGCCAAACATTTATTGTGAAGTGTTTATTTCAAAAAGAATCCTATGTATCAACAGTTAGATACATTGTTTAGTTGACTCATAGTAAGGGACCCGCTATTTCACATTCTGCTTCAAAACACGCAGTATTTTTCTGTGAAAGGCAGAGTTGATCTATTTTATGTTTTTAGGATACAGTGCATGTCAAATTCACAATATATTTTGTGTCTAAAATCTCTATATATTTTTTAACCTTTATCTTGACCATCATTTTTTTTAATAAATATTGTGTGTGTGTGTGCATTCGTGCATGTAAATACCAGTGAAAACTAAGCTAAATCTTGTGAGTACAAGGGCATTGTGCTGAATTTGGTATCAATTTATTGCAATAATGATTTATGTATTGTGATATGTACCACAAAATACTGCATGTTCTTTTATTTGTATTTGGTTATGAACCTGAAAAAAAAAAATACTCATTCATACAATTTCATATTTTGTTGGATGTTGCTATGGCCACAGATGAAGTGATAGTCACATTATATATAGGAAACTGTTCGTGAAAGTTTCACTTTTTCGATGACAGTTGCTAATTTCATAATTTCATAATTTCAATTCGACTTGTCCATTGTTGTAGATATGCATGATTTTGAAAAAACGCAACATTCCATTTTTTACCAAACGTATTGCGATACGTTTTCTTTGGTATTTCATATCATGCTGTAATATTGTGCACATCTGCAAGTGACATGATAGACCTGGCAGAATCAGACATTCATTATTCCTTCTGCTTTCTAAATGGTTTAGTCCAGTCAAGTGAATTCCTACTACAGTGAGCTTTCGATACAATGCCCCTCCATGTACTGACACCTTGGATGCAGTGCAGGGCATCCCTTGCCACCTAGGTCTTCAGCCACACATGCTTGCCGTAATAGGCGACTTACCGTATCGGGTGGTCATGCTCGCTGACTTGGTTGGTGCTTGTCATCGATCCCAAATTGCGTGGATCGATGCTCATGATATCAATCACTGGAATTATTTACAGACTGCCATCATATAGCTGTAATATTGCTGAGTGTGGCATTAATTAACAAACAAACAAATCTTATTTCATCATACTTCCCTGTGTTTGAGTTTGATGCATCAGTAGAGCCCATTAGACCCAGTGTATATTCTGTACAGTGCTACTGACTCTTATCTAGGAATGATGGAACTTTGCTGGTCAGATGTTTTATGTCCTCCAAATTTAGCTCTCCTTCACATCGTATGAGCTTGTGTCTCTGATTATCGTCAGTCTGAAAACTAACATCTCTTCGCATAAATTTACTACTGAACCTATCAATAGATGTTCACAGTTCTTGTTCTACATATCTTTGGCTACTTAATTAGAAGACATTTCATTTGGAAAAATATAATATGGCTAACAGGGCAGCTATTTATTTAAAAATACAGCTTTCACACCAGCCCCTGTTCTCAGGAGCCATGAGACATATTGTCAGCTAACCTGGTCCTCAGGACCAAAGAGAGCTTATGCCATAACATGACGTCCATTTGTATAAATGGAGGGACTGACTCCCCAAGGGACTAAGGGGCGGGGCCAAATAGGGGTAATTTGGCTATATTGCTTTAAGCGACTTCTCCTCCGGAACTTAGAGAAAGATATCAACCATATTTGGGTGGAAGCATTCTCCGGTGGTGAGGATTCAAATTGGAGAGTCTGAACCCATAGTATGCAAACATAGCAATAATTTGTTTGTTATGAAGAGAATAATACATTTATGCCAATAGGATTCGCCCTAGGCTCCAGCCTTGCCTCTGGAAACTTAGATCCTGGATCATAATATGGACAAAATGCTGACAGAGTCAAAATTACGAAATATTTGCAGTATTATATACATGTACAATGCAAATGTATATTTTGTCATGATTGCGTAAATATCTAGGTCAGCTTATGGGCCTCGTGTTTTCAAGTGTTTACAATGTTCCATTATATAAGTCACGAGTTAAAGTTGAGAACATGACCGCAAAAAATAAATAGAGATTATGGTATTTCCATACCATAAATACCATATATTAGCAACCACACAATGTATTATACTAGCCTTTGGGGAGCAAAATACATATTTTTATGATTATGATATTTATGGTATGGAGGCACATTGGGGTATTATTAATCTCTTTAGCAGTTAATGTGATTCTTAAAATAATTTTGTTTAAGACGTAATTTTGCTCAGTGAATTAACCTTAGAAATCACATATGAATAGAGCGGTGCCAAATGGTTTGCATCCATGTTTGTCTGCAGGAACACCCACACAAGGGGAAACTCCTATCAACACTTACTGGGAATGAACTTAGCCAATAGTTTATTGAGCAAGCATACATTGCATCTCTATGACGAGTTTAAAAGTTGTTACATGGTGACCTCAGTTGCATGTCTATCGAATCGTGCACTGGTGACATATGGATGTGTTCAGCGCCAATTTAATATTCCTAATACACTGCGATCTTGTGCATAATAATGAAAATTAATGAATCGAAAAAATAATATTTGTATATTTTTTTAACCAATTTAGCCACTTGAATTACGAGAAAAACAAAATAAAAAATATTTATAAAATAAAAGTGCTTTCGTAAACTAGTGCTTGCTATAAAATGTGCCGCCGCAGGCTATATTTAGTAAACAAATATTCAAAACTCTCAACACCGCTGGGCGTATTCAAAGACCTGGCGTGTAAAGATGATAGATCACTGGAAGGAGCTTATGCCCACTCGATGACCCGTGATACCACAGGACATTGTTTTGCTGGTGAGACTTGCTAAAAATACTACAAATTACGTAATAGGGTACTGTCACGTGTTTGAAAGGCTTGTGGTACTGTATTCTAAAGGTAATTATTGTTTGTCAAGTGTTGCACAATAGTTGGTAATATTGATTGTCAATTACTGTGGCCGTGAAATAATCACCAGTTGTGAATAAATAGCTATAAATTGCATGATCAACTGCAACCCATGAGATTTATGACGATCGCTAGCATTGTTCATGAGAGGTTATTTTAACCTTTGCATCGATACGCCTGACTTGTATGTTCGGTGCTGTACAGTTTTGTTGGCCTTAGCAGTAGTTCCCATGACAACAAGCATAATGGCTGGCATGTAAACAAGGGACAACATGTCAACAAAAGACAAATCTGATGAAAATGAAAAGATGAAGATGAAATCTGCCCAGCAATGAAACTGATATGCAAAGATGTGCATACCTTTGGAGATATATGGCTGACAGATTTTAACTGGCTGTGCTGTGCTGTGATTAGTGCAGACGTTTCATGACAGATTGAGGGTCAATTGTGCACTTTGTGATAAAAGTATGAAACTTGGCACAGTTGTAAGTAATGACATTAGTGCAGCCGTTTCATGACAGATTGAGGGTCAATTGTGCACTTTGTGATAAAAGAATGAAACTTGGCACAGTTGTAAGTAATGACATTAGTGCAGCCGTTTCATGACAGATTGAGGGTCAATTGTGCACTTTGTGATAAAAGTATGAAACTTGGCACAGTTGTAAGTAATAATGACATTGGTGCAGACGTTTCATAAAAGATTGAGGGTCAATTGTGCACTTTGTGATAAAAGATTGAAACTTGGCACAGTTGTAAGTAATGACATTCCAAATATTTTTAGATATTGGGCCACCCCCCAAAATCCAATATGGACCCCAAATCCAATATGGCTACCATGATGGAATGAAATTCTAGTATAGGTTACACACAACCAAATGTTTTCCCATAGGCTTCTATAGTAACGTTATATACTCAAGAACAAAAGTTCCCGTGACACCAATATTGTAGTGTATTTTTCAAACAAGTAAAGTTTGTTTTTTAATATTGTAGTACATGTATGGAATCAAGTTACAAAAACTCAACTGCTACAGAAAAGCATGCATTCCATGCAAAAGTTGACTTTTATGCAAACCCCATGCATTTCACTACCCAAGAATGGGTATAAAAACATGTGCGTTAACAGGTTTCCATATGCATTGTTTAGCATCGTGCTGACAACAACCACTCAGAAAAACAACAAAATTACGCATTTATTCAACATTACGAAATGCCACGACTGTCCGAAAATGAGCGTCTGCGAGCCATTGGTATGCTTGAAGCAGGATCGAGTCAACGTGATGTTGCAAGACAACTTAACATCCACAGAAACTCCATTTGGTGTTTATGGCAACGTTGGCAACAAACGAATGCAGTCAGAGACCATCCTCGGAGTGGCGGGCCACATGTAACCAATAATCGTCAAGACAGCTGGATTCGAACGACACACCTACGAAATCGATTCAAGCCAGCAACAGTGATTGCAAGAAGCATCCCTGGCCTTCGAGGAATATCTTCACAAACCGTACATCGTCACCTCAGATGTGCAGGGATTGTCGCCAAAAGACCTGCCAGACATCCAATTTTGACAGGAAACCACCGTCAAGCACGTTTACAGTGGTGCAGACAACGTCTACGCTGAACGGTCATACAATGGGGACAAGTTCTGTTCACTGACGAGTCTCGTTTTCACCTCAGCCACAGCGATGGACGGATTCGAGTGTAACGACGTCGAGGTGAACGTTACATCAATCATTGTTTCATGGAAGAAGATCGGTTCGGGGGCGGCAGCTTTATGGTATGGGGTGGGACTACAGCAAGACAGAGGACCCGTTTGATAGTGGTAGTGGGAAATCTAAATGGGCAGCGCTACCGCGACGAAATCATCGGCCCCGTTGTTCTACTGTTTTTGCGTCGTCATGGCCCAGGCATTACCTTTCAACATGACAACGCCTGGCCTCATATTGCTCGACTTGTCCAGGATTCTCTTCAACAAAACGACATGAATGTCATCCCCTGGCCGGCTCGCTCCTCAGATCTCTCATCAATCGAGCACATGTGGGCTGAGATGGACCCGCGCCTTTGACATCAACCACGTGTTCCACAGACACTCCAGGAGCTTCGAAACATGCTCCAGCAGATATGGACAGATATACCACAGGACGCCTGGTCCATTCCATGAGACGAAGATGTGTTGCTTGCATCGCAACCAGAGCCGGAAAAACATACTATTGATTTATAAATTGACATTTTAGCATGTTCATGTTTTTTTTTATGAAATCTCGCATTTTCTGAAGTCAGTATGGCAAATTAAACCATCCGAACACTTACAGGAGTCTTTTTTCTGCTGCCACCCGAAATTGTTTCAGATTTGGTAAAAATTATAACTTTGCATTAAATCTTATTCAATGTCACAGGAACTTTTGTTGTTAAGTCTATATTTTTGTTGTTATGGATTTACATTTAAAACACATAAATCTTACACAAAATCATCCAATCACAGCTGCCAGATGATTCAATCTGCACTGAAGGCTCTACGAAACATGCTTGTCAAACGACTGATTCTGATTTGGTGTTGTAGAACCTGTATCTCGTATGAAGATGATCAACAACCTAAATATATAAAGAAAATAATTGGAATGTATTTACCCAACATTAGGTTTGTAAAGTAAATAACCTTATCATAATAGACTATGTATCTTGATTATAATAGGTAATCTAACGTGTGAAGAAATAAAAAAAAAATATGCATTTCTTTCTTCATCAGCATATATTTTAGACATGCTTCATCAAGGCCAATTATCTATTCCAGTACTGTATTCTCATATGTTGAATACAGTGACAACAGAAAACCGTATATGTCCGCAGACTAGCCAAATTTTGAGGACCAGTAAAAAAAGATTCTGTAGAAAGGGGTCGGCTTATCCACGGGATACACTTTCATGATAGTATTGTCCAGATTGTGATCTATCAGAAATATCGCCTGAATGACGGTCCAATAGATTACAACTTCTCGAAAGTTTGGAAGTTGCCACAACTACAGCCATTATTGTTATAAATTATCAATAAAGTTATTATTATACTCAACTGAATGTTCAAAGTTCATCGTTCTTTGCATGATGAATGTGTTCTTCATTAACTCCATGATCTTTACATGTACCAGTATAATCAACAGATTCAGAAATATCGCCTGAATGACGGTCCAATAGATTACAACTTCTCGAAAGTTTGGAAGTTGCCACAACTACAGCCATTATTGTTATAAATTATCAATAAAGTTATTATTATACTCAACTGAATGTTCAAAGTTCATCGTTCTTTGCATGATGAATGTGTTCTTCATTAACTCCATGATCTTTACATGTACCAGTATAATCAACAGATATAATACATTATCAACAGGTGAAATCGGCAATAGCTATTACATACATTTCGCAAAGTTCATATATTGATAGTGAACAAGTATCAACCTTTATTGAATGAAGCAAATAAACAACTGTAACGGCGAGTTATTCCGTTCGCCATTTGCAAAAACATGTGATCAGCTGTGATGTCACAAACGATAGACAAGGAAACGAGCACTGATAATAACGGGACCGATTGGTATTGTTATCGGCCGACCTGTTATGGACTATGGAACAGAATAATAACAGAAGAGAATGTTTTGAAATAAAAGGCCAGGTGTGGAAGGCGGAGACGGGCGCTAGACCGAGCAAAGGGAGATAACTCCGAGCAGCAGCAGCGAAAACCATGTGCTCTCTACTGTACAGCAGACGAGCTATATGCATTTGTGTCCACCCAGGGAAACATGAGGGATGGAATGGGCTCCCACTGTACAAGCAGGCAACCGAGCATACGAGCGAAACCTTATCGGTCCAGCGCCCGTCCAAACCTTGCCACACCTAACGTATTTATTGATATAAAGCGATAATCAGCAACAACAACATCAACAACATTCATAAGGTTTTTAAATTTTGCTGCCATGTACATGGAGGTGCGACAAGAGCGAGGGAAGGGAGGGTGGGTATTTTTTATGAAGGTGTATTCGACTTTCCGAAAAGTCAAGTTCAATGAGAGTTATCCGTCTTGAGTTGGAACTCTTCAATTGGTTGGATGAACTTCCGCCGAGAACTGTCAACTTCCGTCGAAAATAGCGCGATGCTTCGAAGCTGTCAAAATGGGGAAGCAATACTGCTGTATTTGTAGCAATTTTAGGGGAAAGAGAGTCGGTGAAAGAATAGTATCTCTACACGTCATTCCAGTAAGCTAGTCCCTACGACAAGCGTGGATAAGGCGACTTCGGTTAGTGAGAAAAGACCTCACAGTGACCAAGCACACGGAAATATGCTCGGAACATTTCCTGGGTGGTAACGGCCTAGGCATAGGGCATGATGTTCCATCGATTTTTCCGAAGAAAAATTACAGTACTTGCACAGTGAGTTATGTTGATTCTTATAAGATTTATGCTATTGTTGGTGTATTTAATGTGTTTTATCGTTTGTGAATGTTATGTGATTGTGAAAAAGTGCTATGATTAAAACTTGAAATGAAAAAAACAAACAAAAACGTTTCAAGTTGTGTTGATCTTAAAATTCTATGTATCCTCTCTTTCATCTTATTTGTTTGAATAAATAGAAAAAAATGTCTCCGTGTCTGTTGATAATTTGTTGCAGGTGTCTGATGCTGACTTTGTTGATACCCTCAAGCCAAATGAAAGCCCATTCAAGCAGGCCTGTGACCCTGAATCTCCCAAAGTGACTATGCAGATACATGGAGGGACTCCTCAGTCTGATGAAATTGAACATCATTCCACAACATTCAGTCAAGGTGCCAGGTACAGCGGGAACATAAGTTTTTTTCTTTTTTGAATTTGTTGATTATTATGAGAAGTTATGCTTAACAAGACAAAATATAAAAATCATGGTGTAGTCTCTCTTACTTACAGAACAATAAAATATAAAGAGCATGAAATATATATATAGAGCATAAAATATAATATTGACCAATAAACTTGATAATACACTTCTTATATTAGCTTTTGTATTAACAGATTTATGTTAATTTATTTTTTATTAATTTTAATTCCTTTAAACTCAAAATATCGGAAAAAAACTATTTATTTAATGTGATGAAAAGCTATTTATTATTTTGACAGATCCTATGACGTTGCATCAGTTATGCTGCATGACTACTGTGAGGCTGTGTGTGAAGACGATATCAGTTGCATAAGATATGGATCATCGCAAACAGAAATGGTGGAAGTTAGAAGCATGTCTACTCAAACTGACGATGTAATGTTCCAGTGTTTGAATCCTGTGAAAACATCCTGTGCAATGACTCAGACTGAGACTGAAAATAAAAAAGTCTTTCGCAATTAAGCCACTCAAGTCAAACTTCCTGATTTAACATTTTTTTATGTGAAGAATGATTCAGAATTGGTAACCTCTTAGTCTTGCCTTGTGGATGCAGAAAAGTTTTCATGTTTATTTGACGAGTTTTCTGAGGTTCATGACAGGGACTATCCAACATCCAATATCGGACCCCCTAAATCTTTGTCTTTGATAGACAAGTTCTTTCTAGTGTTGATGCGTCTTAGACTTGGACTCCTAGTTGTTGATTTATCAAAGCAATTTCATATTTCCAGAAGCTGCTGTGCTGATGTCATTAATAGATGGATTGATATTTTGTACAACAATTTATCCTTCCTAGTTGTCTGGCCATCAATGGATACTATTAATACAACTATGCCTCAAGGTTTTAAAGACCTGTATCCAAATACAAGGGTTGTTATAGATTGTACAGAATTATTTACAGAAAAACCTTACTCTATTGGTAAACAGTCACAAATGTACAGTCATTATAAAAGTCACATAACATTTAAAGCGCTTGTTGGTGTCACTCCAAATGGTGATGTTAGCTTTGTCTGACTTGTGGTCAGGAGCTATAAGTGACCGGCAAATAACAGTTAAATCAGGACTTTTAGATTTGTGTGATGTAGGTGATGCAATCATGGCGGATAAGGGATTTACAATCTCAGACTTGACAACACCAAAAGGTATACTCCCAATAATTCCACCAATTTTTTAACTTATCCTGCATTACTCCGTATTACATTTACTGCTGTCTTTGACAGAGAGACGAACTGTGTGAGATCCAGCTGCTGAAGAAAGTTGTCCCAACCAGCTCAGGAGGCAGCGCCCTCTCACAGTCGGCACGTGACCCGGAAGTCATGACGTCACACCAAAAGACATAACTGCTTTGTCACCTCCACGGACGGACGTACTTTGTATCCCTTGTGGAAATTAAAGCTTATTATTTGTTTTTTATATTTTGCGTGTTTCTACATTCATTATATGCTGCTACATTGTTACCTGTTATGGGCTGTGACCTTAGGGTCTTCCCATTCGTAAATTGTAACGTTTATCGCTCGTCTGTGGCTCTCGTCACAGTAATTTACGGGCGCAATGTTGTTCCCGCCATTTTGTTTTCTTTCCCGCCATTTTGGCCATTCACCACGTGGCCACGTAATGTCGTGTTCTGCGTTTTGAATTCTCTCTTTGGCTTGGGTAATACATTACATTTATGTATGTTGTTTTGGTGTGCTTAAAGCCTTGCCTTTTCGCTACCTCTCAGCGTAATTGTTTCTTCTCATAAACTTCAATATAATACGAAGTTTTTGAGTTACATTATGTCTCCCGTACTCTGTGGTTTTGCCACATGGTTACGTGTTTGCTTAAGGCTTTGCCTTTTCGCTACCTTTTAGCGTACTTGTTCATCTCATAAACTTTAATAAAATATACTGTTTTTGAGTTACTTTATGCTTCACATACTTTGTGATTGGCCAGATGGTTATGTGTTTGCTTAAAGCTATGCTTTTTCGCTACCTTTTAGCGTCATTGTTTGATCTCATAAACTTCATTGAAATACAAAGTTTCTGAATCACATTATGCTTCCCGCACTTTGTGGCACTTTGCTTAAATTCCAGATTTTCTGCCTCGCTGCACTTGTTGCCGCGGGAACAAATCTGGTCGGGGCCGCCCCCTTTCTGCCGTGATTGTACGACGCCCTGTACTTTCACAAGGCAGTGCCGATGTTGCAGTCATTCGTCGCTGTGATCCTTCAGCTCATGCGAGTATCCAGGACACACCTCGCTCAACGTGCTCGTCGACCCCCACCTACGTTGACGGCAGCAGCGCTCAGCAGGGCTTCGCAGTGCTCCCAACACCAACGGCGGCTCCCACCGTAGAGTCTGCCTCCCATGGCACGACATACGACCGTTCACAGTCTCCTACTCCACCGGCGGCTCCAGCGCTCCCAACGTAGAGTCTGCCTCCCCTGGCACGACATACGCTCCGGGGCCTCCGCATCCTCTGATGTCTTCGGCGCTCCCGGCGCCTCTGAGGTCTCTGATCTCAAGATCTTCGACGCCTCTAATGTCTCTGGCGCCTCTGACTACTCCGGCGCCTCAAGAGTTACGGAAGAAGCGCCTATGATATATCCGGCGCCCAGATCAACAAGCTTTATCAAGCTCAGATCAACGAGCCGACTATCCGATCTTCTACTGCGGCTTAAGGGGCACCATCGGCAATCGCCTCCCCGGCGCCACTGCCCTCTTCTCTTGCTGCCGTCTCATAAAACTCGTCACACGGAGAAGCATGGTGAAACAACTGTCGCCGCTCCTGTCGCTACTCTCCCGTCGGTCTTCGGGATCGTGACTATTGTTCTACTTCCTGGATGGAATCTTTTTCAACCAATAGACAGTTGGTCTGATTCAACTTGCCCACTGAGACGTTATCCATAATCCCGTCGTTTAAAGCGCTATGATTCCGGAGAGATGACCTGCGGGTTTCCATCGAAACAGAGCGTCATGTGAACAGCGTCTGTATCAGATTCGACGACGACATCCACTTACAAAAAGTTTACTTCGTCGACATCGCCGACACCAACGCTGTTCTACCCTACCCTAGCGCCAGCGTTCCTGAAAGAGACTCTTCCTCGGCGCTCCCCGGGTTTTCCACGACGCCCAGGGGGTTCTGTGTTTTATCGCAAAACTCGGGTACACCACTTGTTCGTCTCTCACACAGTTCATTGAGGATTGTCTGTGTGTGGAGTTTGCACCTCAGTTCCAACTCCAAGGCGGTTTTCTCGGCTACTGCGCAGAGTGATTTACATGTCACGTGTCAAGTACTCGGACTGTCAACAACTCCGACCGGAATTAGGTCAACTTACCATGGCAAGGGGTGCCATGTATTTCTACAGATTGGTTTCCATGTCTACCTGTACGCTTGGTGATACCACTCAACCAGGCGCCTGTCGCAGTCCATCCATGCACGGATGTTGGAAACAATAGACCTCCTCTACCAACACGGCTGTCACGAGGAACCTTGTTTCATCAACCCTTCGCTATAAGAACGATAGCGCCTATAGGCGTTCAAGGGATGGAAAAGATCGCCTTCCTTCGTCCGGTTTGATCTTTTCGACTACGACACCTTCCTATCTTCCGCCTTGACTACCGGACACAGTGTCGATTTGATACTTAAAGTCCCTCGGCCGTCCCACTGACCCCTGTTGCATACCTGCCTCGTATCGTGTTGTCGTCCTCCATTGTCACCTCGATATAAGAACAGGAGTACTTATACGCCGCTTCAGGGATGAAAACGATCTCATTACTTCGTGCAATGGCCATATTGCCTCAACTTCCTGCTACCCGGTTATGTCGATTCCCCGGCGGTCGATTGTGAAGCTGGTTTACTTCGTCTACTTGAGGTTGGCTCGCAGGCGATCACACCTTTTTCCGAATCGTACCGACGGTACGCAATCGCAGACCCCTGTTGCTGACTAACTCCCCTGCCACCTTGTCAGTGGCTAGTGGCCCACACCAACCCACATTGTGACCACCTGTGATCCAGAGATCAACACCATTGGCACAGCAACAGCCTCGAGATAAAGGCTTATCCAGGACGTCACTTGCTGACAGTGCATTCTCGGTCACGCCCTGTTGATCGTATCCACTGACGACGTCACCGTAGTGTGGTGTTTGCGGACCCAGAGTACTCGCCCCTCTCCCGGAGCTACAAACTCGACCGGCGCCCCCGAGAATCACCATCTTCGGCGTTCCAGGCGCCTCAAGCTCTCTGACGCCTCACGCTCTCCGGCGCCTCGGGCCAGACTATGTCAAACGGTCGACACCCCAACCCTAGATCTGTTTGCCTCATATCTGAATGTGGCCAGCTGTCGTCTTCCATTCCACCTGTGCCGGATACGACCGCTGTGGCAGTCGAAGCCTTCCATCGTTCCTGAGAAGGATTACGCGTGACGCTTTTCCGACGCTGGTTCTCCCATTGGCTTTGGTCTCGCCTTATTGGTCAGCCAGAAGTTGGGTTACCGACCTCCGAAACATAGCCAGAGACAACCCCTGGAACTTCCGGTGTGGTCCAACCTTCTGCTCCATCCACACGGTCTGTTGCCAAACCCTCATACCCGCATGTTATCGTCTGCACGCCTGACACACCTGCAGAAAGCCAAGGGCTATTCGGCTAGAGCGACCAAGGCTATTGCTTCAGCCCACCGTCCATCTACAGGGGGACTGTATGCTGATAAATGATGCTTGTTCCAGGCATTTTGTTCTGACAAACACCAGGATCCGATGACAGCGTCACCGCAGATCCTGGATCAGTTCCTTCTGTACTTGCGTAGCACCCGTCGGTTGAAGGGCTTACCACCCCCACATACCTGGTCGCCATCTACTCCGTTCTGGCCATCCCGGACGATCGGAGAAAGACGAAAATTCCCGACCTACGGGCCTGGCTGCGCTCGTTCAGTCTTGAAGACCTGAAGGCCAAGTTCGGACCGCCTGCGTTGGATCTGAATGTGGTCTTCAACGCCCTTCGAACCATTCCCCTCGTCTTCCTTCTACGACCTTAAGTAGAAGACGGGTGTTTCTACTGGTTTTGACTACTGCCGCTAGCACACCGCCTTCACCAACCACTACTTCCGTGATGTAGCCTTGAAAGTTGTCGCCGGCGTTCACAGTTTTGGTCCCTGGTTGTAGCCCAACAGGTCATCTATCTCCGACGCCACTGATTCTCCGATACCCTGAGCGGGGCCCGTCGACCTCTCTGGTGTTTATCACCCCAGACGAGACGGCTCTCTTGCGTTCCGCATTCGCTCTTAGGTCAGTTTTAGTTTTGGGTTACCCGACTCATTCTATTGCTATCACCTATCCGGGTTTTACTTTTTGCATCAACTCTCGTTTCCTGACGACAGGAATGGTAGTAGATGTGGACACCGGCGCCGACGCCAACGCCGCTGCTTCTCTGATACCTGAGCGGTGCCCGTCGACCTCACCGGTGTTCCTTGCCTCCAGCCTAGAGGG